CATGCAGCAGGCCCTCACCCAGGCGCTACCTGGAACTACTACATGTAACGAGATTATACACCGATTGATAGGGCAGCCCCCTGGTACTAGCTGCGGTCCCGCTTTATTTCACCGCTACCGAACCAACTCGACCTCGATACGGGGTCGCGTAGCGTTAGCCCCAGGAGAGAGGGAAAGCCTTCCGTCCATGCCAGGTATTTATCTCTGGGTATTGGTGTAGAGCGTGTGTGAGCGCATGCGTCAATCAGGTTGGCTACCTGCAGGAACAAGTTCCTGGGCGATGGGGTCGCCACATCCCGACGCCAGGGGTTACCTTTTAGTCGCCTTTTACGACAAGCAGGTATTACTGTGGGCCAATTCTACTTTAGTGTCCCCGGTGCCACAGGGGGCAATAATATAGTAAAACAATGCAAATTGTGAATTGGACGTTACTTAAGTATTGTTGATTGTGTCACTTTTGCATTTAAGGTAAATTGTCACAAAATTATTTTTTGACAGAATCTGGCAACCCCAGATATGACGGTCAACCAATAAGTAACTTGGATTGTTTTCCACCATTACTTTTCCACCATTAATTTCTTATTTTTAAAATAGGCTAAAAATAATATCTTATCTATTCTTAAAATATATAGAACTTTAAATACACTTACATAGATTTTTAACACTTATCCTGCATGAACTATCTTTAGAAAAATCCAAAATCCAGGCCTTGGGTACGGTTTCATGTGTTAATTATAAAAACAATAGGTTACTAAACTAATTAACTATGACAATATAAAGATAACTGTCATAAGTAATAATTAAGTTCAATTTCGCGAAAAAATAATAAAACACACTAAAAAATTAACAAAAAAAATATTAATAGAGGTGCCAACATAAAATTGGTATATTTTATTTAGCAAACTATGTAAAACAAATTTTATTTATTTGATTTGTTCCTAATTAAAAATTTTTAATAATTTATTTAATATGAGATGGATTAATACGTGTTTAAAGTGCTTAAATAATATGGGCCTTTACGCCAAATAAGATTAGGTATACCTAATATATATAAGTAATATCTTTGCTCGCTGCAATATGCGCAAATCACAAATAGGTACTGTAAAAGTGTTTAAGTAAAACTAAATGTTACTGTATTGTTTGTATATTCTTAAATGTTAATTATTAAAATTAAATGTCACTAGATATAAAGTAAAATCCCCTATAATTAAATTTATTTATGTTTAACCCAATCAACCTTGTATTATTGTTCACCACTCGTGCAGCCGACCACTGGCGTTACTATAGATTATTTTAAAAATTTTCGAATTTTAAGAAAAAATGATTTTTGCATTTAATTTTAATCTCGTATTTTTTTCCAGACCCTTTAAAACATCACAAGCATTTTAAACGGAAAAATTTCAGAAAAAGTATTTATCATACGGGTATTACGTTTAAAATGCTTGTGATGTTTTAAAGGCCTAAATAAAAAACTGAAAAAAGGTGCCAATGTTAAGATGCAAAATGTTATATTGCTAACATAATATGTAAGCAAATGACCGGAAAAAAGTATAACATGTTTAATTAATATAGGTAAATACTTTATAAGATGACTATAAATAAAATAATGTAATAGGTGTATTAAATTTAAAAATGTTAATTCTTTTAAATTTTACAAAAATTAAAAGATTGACAACAATTTTATTGGCCCAAATTTAATAATGCCTATGTGGTAAACCAATTAAGGTAATAATATCAGATATATTAAAGATATTATCTCTGATAATATTGCACACGGCAATACATCTTAACCATGCTCTTGAGTTGGAATTAAACTGAAGACCTTAGAAATAACAATTAAGATTTAATGATATCACTAGGGTTGCCAGATTCTGTCAAAAAAGTAAAGTACATTTTGCGAGAATTTACAAAAATAATATAGTAAAACAATGCAAATTGTGAATTGGACGTATTGTTGATTGTGTCACTTTTGCATTTAAGGTAAATTGTCACAAAATTATTTTTTTGACAGAATCTGGCAACCCTAGATATTACGGTCAACCAATAAGTAACTTGCATTGTTTTCCACCATTACTTTTCCACCATTAATTTCTTATTTTTAAAATAGGCTAAAAATAATATCTTATCTATTCTTAAAATATATAGAACTTTAAATACACTTACATAGATTTTTAACACTTATCCTGCATGAACTATCTTTAGAAAAATCCAAAATCCAGGCCTTGGGTACGGTTTCATGTGTTAATTATAAAAACAATAGGTTACTAAACTAATTAACTATGACAATATAAAGATAACTGTCATAAGTAATAATTAAGTTCAATTTCGTGAAAAAATAATAAAATACACTAAAAAATTAACAAAAAAATATTAATAGAGGTGCCAACATAAAATTGTTATATTTTATTTAGCAAACTATGTAAAACAAATTTTATTTATTTTATTTGTTCCTAATTAAAAGTTTTTAATAATTTATTTAATATGAGATGGATTAATACGTGTTTAAAGTGCTTAAATAATATGGGCAATTACGCCAAATAAGAAAAAAAATAAAACTAAATGTTACTGTATAAATAAATGTGCTCGAATTTGTAACCATATTTTGCTTGTTGTGTGCTACCTTTGCGCTGCCAGCTTAACATATCTTAATTATATTTTTATTAAGATATAATTGATTTTGCATTGCAAACCCTAGCTATTTATATGTCAACACTTTTTAACTCTATTCTAGACAATATTCAATATTTTTATAGAAATGCAATTAAGAATGCGAAAATTTTCAAAAATTTTGCGTACGTGCATAAGGTGAGTGTTTTCGGTGCATTTTATTTATCTGCGTTAAAAAATAGTTTTTATTTATTTACTATCATAAGTTACTTAATTACAATTAACTACCTAACTAATTCAGTAGTACTGACCCTTAAATCATGGACCAATTAAAAAATAAAAGAATTTTTTCTTCCATTGGACCACGGTAATACTGATAAGAATGCTTCAATCAATTTATAAAAACTAAATCTTATTACTAGAGTCTAGTAACTAGACAACTTTAAATTTACAAGCGCCAGATTAGTGGCGCCACCTGTTGGGTTCTATGTGAAAGTTTTACAGGTTACTGTTTTATACTACAAACAGTTTCGCTACTCACTGTTAGATAGAGCATGGGTTCAAATTTTGAATTATTAGAAACCCAAATCTACTATAGTAAAATGATATTTTTTGAATCAATTGAGACAGATTTAAAATTGCATTTTGATATGATATTTTATAATTATTTTGTAGAAACATGATATGAATATAAAACATATTTTTAAAAAATTGCTATTTTCAGGTATAGTCTTGGAGCATAAAGCAATAAAATATTCTCCGTGGGATTTGTTATGAAGGGATGATGGGAATATATGGGATAGCTTTTTTATACCTTTTTGAGTTGTGTGGGACCGGGTGTTTACCTTGAAACTATGTCTGGTGGTGTTTATGACATTTCTAATCCAAATTTTGCTAGTGACTTTTTTGAAATAAAACTGTTTTAGTAAATTTAAGTAGTTTCATTGGTTGTTTATAAATTAAGTGTGCCTTGACTTTATCAATTTATGTTTACATAGAACTGTCAAAAGTATTTTACGATTTTAATACCTACTTTTTTGCTGTTTTTCTTAATTTAAGGTATGTTTTTGTGTTTAAAGTTGATTTTACATAGTATTTTATTGAATTTAAAAGCATTTTTAATTTCTAAATACTTAATTTCTTTTAAAATATTTACTATTACCTATTTAATTACCATTTCCTGTTATAACAGTGTAATAAATTATAATTATAATTTATTACACTGTTTTACAAGGAAAAATAGATATTTTATTTTAAATGTTTAGGGAGATTTTGGTGCGCTAAACATAAAAAATCTTATTTGGGCCATTCACCTAAATGACGGTATACTTTTGTTTTTTAATTTAAGATTTTACTTAAATCAGCATCGAGAGGATATGGCAAATCCGATATATGCCAAATCCGATATATGGTTGAAAGGTGGTTAAATTTCGCATCCAACGGTAAAAACATCGTTTTTATCGAATCAAAAATAGCTGAGTTACAGCTCATAAGTTCAAATTTCTTGCAAAATGGCTCGAAATCGATCCATGCAAAATATAAAAATATAACAATATGTCAGTTTTAAAAGCCAATATTTTCTTAACCATTTGAGATAAAAAAATGTTTTAAATCATTTTTTTCCTTTTTTAGTTAGGTATTTTAAGAGATTATATAATTTTTTTTAATAGGACCACTAATAACGAAATTATTCGACATTTTATAAACGCATACCTGAAATAATAAGCTATCGGATTAATGACGCCATAAAAAATTGACACATTTTTAAACAAAACACCCGATAATACACTATTGCCTTGTGTATAAAAAATTGATTTCAGATAGTTTCATCTTCACAAAAAATTCCACGGGATGCACTAAGCTCAAAAACTAAATCTACTTCTATACTAAAATGATATTTTTTTAATCAATTCAGACACATTTAAAATTGCTTTTTGATATGATATTTTAAAATTGATATAGCTTATTTTGTAGAAACATGATATGAATATAAAACTTATTTTTTAAAAATTGCTATTTTCAGGTAACTGACAATGCCTTTCGGCTTTCATCGTTTCTCCAATAAAAAATTTAGGCCATTACTCAACAACATAACTTAAGTTGGTCAGCCTAATTTATAGATTGCCTTCCTTCCTTCCTTCCTCTCGTAAAAGATTTACAATACGAAAATCGTAGTGCATTTATAGATTTCCGTACAGGAATCTTTAAACAGCACAAAGGTTTTTGTATTGTTCATCTTCTACGGGAGGAAGAAAGGAAGGAAGGAAGGAAGACAGGCAATCTATAAATTAGGCTTTACATTGTACACTGACTCAATCATCAATAGATTTTTGTAGGTATTTCATCCTTATTAATTAATTAATTTAATAAAAATTCAACTATAAAAACCTATACTCAACAACAATCTACTCCATGGTGTTGTACTGAACATTCTTAACCTTGAAATACCTGAAAGCCCCGTAACCGGTGACCGTCATCAAGACGGCTATGGCGAGAGTGGAGCCGACCGCGATGGGAGCGGTCTCATCTCTGAACTGCTTTTGGCCTCTGCATTCGAACGTGGGTCCGAAGTTTTCGCTCTTGTACATGAAGGGCTGGACCTGGAGGAGTCTTAGTAGTAGTGTGCCGCGAAGACCTGGAGGTGGATGGTCGCTCTCCTCGGTGACTAGATCGATGTCGACCTCGTCGCATTTGAAGGATCTGCCTACTGGAGTAGCGATTTCCATTTTACGGTGGTAGAGCTTAATTGGTTTACCTGCGGGCAAAAAGCTTGTCTTTGGATTGTTTGGAATACGCTAAAGAAGTATCGGGTTTTCGCAACGCGCGCGCCATCTGGCGGACTTCGAATGCATTGCGTGAATTTAAGAATTGTCAACAATAAATTTAAAGCACCGATTATACATCATTTTTAAATAAAGAGAGGAAGGCAGAAGTCTTACTCAACAAATTTTGTTCAATTGCACAGCTAAATCGCGCACGTTATTTGTGTTTTACGTTGCAAGGAAAAAAATAAAAAAAACTTTTTTAGTACTCGATTTCGATTGATTATTCCTTATATCATTGATTAAGAAACTCAACGCTTAAATGCTTACATAGTTACGTTAGTGTAGGTATGTATTTTATCTAAGGGATCATGGTGAATTATTGTGGTTTTAAATGTAAATAAAATTCAAGAACTAAATCGTTGCATTTTCATGTTTTGCCAAAGGACCAATTCGGTAAGTACATTTGTTGGTGCAGAATTAACTAATGATAACTTTACCTAATATAATTTATATTTAAGTTTGGATATTTTTAAGAAATTGGTAAAAAATTATTTTTGCACAAACATAACCTTAAAATCAATCATTTTTATATTTGAGTTCTCTAAAAAACGCCGACAACTGCATTTTAAACAACAAAATATACCTACGAATTCATGGCAACATAATATTATATATAATACATAATATAAAGGTATTTTACCGTTGAGTGAAGACTTTAAAGAATTCTTAATCAACGCTTTTAATAATGCTAAATGCTGTTTAAATTTAGACGACTTATTTGTTTGACGATTTTTACTGAATTGAAATGTTTACATTTTTCACGCTAATCATTACTAAAATGTGTATTTATTGTATCTAATAGGTAAAATTTATATTTACAGAGACTGTATCCAATTTATTTCTTCATTCAGATTAACACTGTTTATTGGAAAAATATTCTTTAAAATTTCCAATGGAACACCCTATTTTTATTGCAGATTCGGATCATTAAAAAAAAATAGGTAGATTTTATCTAAAACATTTTTTCATATTTGTAATAGATAGCGCTGTAATGAAAAAAAATCAATTTTGTTCGATTTTTCTTCTGTATACGATTCTGCAATAATTTTTCCATCAAAATATCACTTTTTTTAATAATAATTATCTTATTAAATTAAATCTGATTTTTTTAAGTACCCACGATTTTTAACTAATATTTAAGTTTCCTTTGGTTTAAGTTTTATGCAATATTTCATTCGGTGATAATTATCAATTGCGCACCATGGTCACTTTTTACCTGCCAGCATGAAAGTTTTTAATTTAAAGGATTCTTTTACTATTTTTAATAAAAATACCTCATTTAAGGTAAAAAAACATTATTTTGTCAAATAATTAATTTAATCCTAATTGAGGTATAAAAATGGTATAAATGGTAATATTAAGGTATAAAGACTATTTATAATATCTACGCTCAGCGTTTTCCGGATAAAATTCGATCACGTACTTCATTTCACCGTACAGTCAAGCAGTTTACTACAAACAGGAGTGTTCAAACGAAAAAAAGAGTTCGTCGAGCAACAGTCACAGGTGGAAATAATGAAATTAATGTATTAGCAGCAACGGCCGCTAATCCTCATGCAAGCACACGAGAATTATCTAGAGATTTGGGAATATCCCAGAGCAGTGTTAGCAGAACATTAAAACGAAATGCGATCTAATAAATGCATTGAAGTCGAAGGCCACCATTTTGAGCACCTACACTGAAAAAAATTATTACATTTAAATGTAAAGTTACAGGATTATTACCATATAAATTCCTAATTTTTACGACAAATTGTAAAATTACCTTTATTTTCGTCTAATTTTTATATATTTTAAGTAAATAAACATTTTTGTTTGTAAAATTACTAATGTTATGTATTAATTATTAATACAACAAGTAAATTTAACGAACTAAATGTAAAAAATACAATTATAACGTCTTACTGCATTATTTCAAATGTAAATATACTTTATTAGTCTTAATATTACAGGTTTAAATGTTTTTTTACATTCGGAGTGTAGTAAAAATCGCAAAATTACATTTCATATGTAACCGGAGAAGAAGCCTATTGGATGGGAATTCGCGCATGCCTGCCCACGCATCGGCATGTTAATGTTATCATGTATAAATACATTTCAAATAAAAAACACATTACATTAAAAATGTTATTTTACATAAAAAATATAAATGAGTTACACGTCAATTATGCTATTACATTTTACATGTAAAATAATAATGAAATGGAATATTTCAGTTATCAACAAGGCATCAAAATAACCAATCTCCATTACCGGAAATTTACATGATTTTTTTTTTCAGTGTACTTTAATTAAAATTTAAAAAATAAATAATTTTCAAAAATAAAATCGTAAAAGTATTTTATTCAAAAATTATTGGAGAATCGTATACAGAAGAAAAATCGAATAAATTTTTTTTTTCATTACAGCGCCATCAGTTACAAATATGATAAAATATTTTTGACAAAATCTACCTATTTTTAGTCGAATGATCCGAATCTCAATAAAAAATAGGGTGTTCCATTGGAAATTTTAAAGTTACCCCCTGTTCCCCCTATAAGAATTAGAGTATGAAGACCAATTGAGAAGCATCCGTGCAAAACCGGCTAAATCCATTATATTCAGTTTTTGGTTTTTTTTTTTTGATTTCGCATCTTTGGGTTCATTTCTATCGACAACCAAGATAATTCAGTTTAAATCCGACTAAATCCATGTTAAAATCATATTTAAAAGGTATACCTATATAGGTATAGCTATAGCTTTAGGAGCAAATCCACGTTTTTTATAGCAAACCCGGCTATATCCAATAAATAATAATATGTGGCTTGGATATGTCGATATTACTAATAAAATTTGTTTTGTTTTTTCATGTTTGCACTATATTTATTTTTTGAATAATAAAGGTTTTTTTACATTTTATTCGTTTTTTATTCGGTTTTCGAGCGAAACCGGCTATATCCAAATTTTTTTTTGAAATTTTGGCCTTAATATAAAGTTTTTGAAAACGAAAGTATGTCTTATAAATCAAGTACCACAAAGCCCACAAAACTCAAGTTTGCTTTTTCTTTTATCTGTAAAGGCCAGGAAACCGAGAGTTTTTGCCATTTTCCCAAGTGGATATAGCCGGTTTTGCACGGATGCTCCTCAATTTTAGTACTGATTGATTTCCCCCCTCGAATAATTTAATTTTTATTTTAAACATTTTTTCGTAAAATGCATACTAACTGAGATATTTCAAAGTTTCAATTTAAATGACATAGGCTTACGTGTTATAGTATGAAAATTGTTATAAGCTTGAAAAATACGTTTCGTCTACAGACAACCTAAACTAAAATATTTAGGAGGTGGTACGAGGATGTAATAATAATTTTAAACTTTATATTTCTCCAGGGACTGGCTTTTATGAGTACAACAATGTTTAGCGAAAAGGGTTATAATTGTTATAAGTCTTATAAGTCTCTTGTCGCTACTGTAATGCCACGGTACATTTTGTACTTAAATGTAAAACATTTTTTGAAAATATGCTCTGAACATTTACTAACTCGATATTTTACTAATAGAAAATATAATTATAAAATAAAATTTAAAACCGCTAAATAAACAAATCTGTACCTCAGAGGTAAAGTTACATAATGTAAATTGTTCAGGAGAAACCATAGAAGGTTTAAAAGTAAGATAACAGAGCTGGATTTTTTTCGTGTTCATGTCACCAAAAAAAGGGTGGGTTAATAAAAGATTTTTTTTCTAATAGACAATTTTCTGTTCTTGATAAAATTTATTTATTATATTTTTCTTGAAGAATAAAATATTGATGAAATTTTAATCTACAATACAGAAAAATATTTCTTAAAAAATTTGAAAGGCACAAAATTCCCTACATTATTATCATTTACGTTTTTTATCTACAATCGATACCTTAGTTTCCAAATACGATTCACTGCTATTTTAGAAGATTTTCGAGAAGAACGGCAATTTGTAAAGAACATATTCAACTTACAGACTTGCTTAAATGGACATTTTTGAAGATAATTTCAACCTGCATAAAGATTTTAAAACCGAAATTCGAAAAAAATATTTTTACTGTACGAGCGGAAGGAGAAAATAATAAAGCATTGTTTTTTAATGGTGTTTAAAGGGAAATATTTAAAAATTGAATAGCAACGCCTTAAAATAAAGATTAAGAGCTTTGTAAGAGCTCAAAATTTTTGTTTTCTGTCCGGTTACAAGATTTTCAGGTGGAACGCTCTAAAATGAAGCACCCTAGTATACTATACATACATTGTTTATACGTAAATTAAACCTATACGTTCATTAAACAATGTATAAAATTAAAAAAGTGATGCATTATACATCGTTTAAGCATAAAATCATAACATATAGATAACGTTTATCGGAAAGGAACCAAGCGCCAAAAACTTTTTCTGCTGTAAACAAAATTATTTGCAAAATAACTCATATTTAATGCTGCTCAAAAAATTAATAATAGAAACCCTCTCAATCCATTTAAGAATTGTTCCAAATAATGATCAACCTTTTGAGCATTATTAAAAATAAGTTATTTTACAAATAAATTTACCAAGCCCCCAAACCGTAATTGTATTCAATGACATTACATTACTTCATTCAACGGTAATAACCGCTTATATGCATATGTGGTTTACTAGCAAAATATTGTTGTCGCTTGGTTTTAATATCATTTAAACTAAATTATCAACACCAATATACGAGATATAAATAATTTTTACTTTTCCTTGAAAAATAGAATATTGCGCAAATTTTAGGCTATAGCATATATATAAGGGTGCTTTTTTTCACGACTATTTTTATTTTTTCGCTCCCAACTCAAAATCTTGTTGAAAATGTTCAAAAAAAAAATTCCCTGAAAATTTGATCCCTTAATATTTATTAACTTAAAGTAGTCTACCAAAGCGTATAAAGATTTCCCATTTAAAATACTTTGTTTTTTTTTTAATATATATATCTCAGCCGCATTTTATTTTATTGGATTGTTTCAAAAAGGCATTTACTCGTAATCAAAAGTTCTACAAAAATGCTTTTTGTGCCATAGCTGTAATCTGCACCTGTATGATGGTACGGATCACTAAATCTTATTTTAGTGAAAAATTCTCATATTTTTGAAGATATTTCAAAAGTGACTGAATTTTTAAAAAAAATGTTGATTCACTAATGTTGAGATATAAAGCGTTTACATTGACAATTTATTAATTTTTTAGGATTTTCGTACCAAACTTTTTATAAATGATGATTTTCAATTGTACAATTGTACAATTTCATCTAATTACGTTTTTTCTACAGTCGGGTGATTAGAGAAAAATAAATAACTCAAACAATCAAGCATAATTATTAAACATAACTTTAAAGAGAAAAGATATATCTAACCTAAAAATTGATATAACGCGGTGTATTACAAACAACATGTTATTTTATTAATAATTATGCTTGATTGTTTTAGTTATTTATTTTTCTCTAATCACCCGACTGTAGAAAAAACGTAATTACATGAAATTGTACTAATAAACAATTGAAAATCATCATTTATAAAAAGTTTGGTACTAAAATCCTGAAAATTTCATAAAATGTCAATGTAAACGCTTTATATCTCAACAAATATCAATCTTAGAGATTCAACTGACAAGACCTTTTTTTGTCCTTAATATTTTTTCAAAGAATCCAGTCACTTTTGAAAATAAGATTTAGTGACCCGCACCATCCTACAGGTGCAGATTACAGCTATGGCACATAAAGCATTTTTGTAGAACTTTTGATTACGAGTAAATCCCTTTTTAAAAGAATCAAATAGCATAAAATGCGGCTGAGATATAGATATTTAAAAAAAAAATAATCAAAGTTTACGTGTATTTTAAATAGGAAATCTTTATACGCTTTGGTAGAGTACTTTGAGTTAATATTAAGGGCTCAAATGAGAAAAAAATCTTAGGCTGACCTCCCCTTTTTTTCGCAAGATTTTGTATGCACTAAACACGAAAAAAAATATCCCAGCCCGTTGCAGTTTTTTTAATTTTGTGAGAGAGTATTTATAGTCAATTATAGTTTTTACATTTAATATCTGATTATTATGACATTATTACGTTATTACATTAGTTTTTAAATATTAAAATCATTGGTTACTTGACTAGTAGATAACGCAGTACTGAGTGATTTTTGACACTACAGTACAGTTCATCTCTGAGGTACAAAATTTGATGAAACACACATTTTATTAAAAAAAGTTCTCACCTCTGGTTTGTATACCGTGAAACTGCGGCAAATCGGGACTGACAGTCAATTCGATGTTGCTTATGTACCACATTTCACCTCCCGGCGTTTTAGCGAAATTTATTTCCAAATTATATCCAGTCCAGATTATCCTGAGCAATTGCGCGTCCTCGTACTTGCAATTACCGTCGACCAAAACTTTCTCGGGTATAAAAGAGTCCGCCTGCTCCTCCAAATTGTGCAGTTTGAACTTAACCTGCGACAAAAACGAAATTGGGTTAAGCCATGACCTAGATTATGAAAATTGCTCAAGTATATATTGTACAGGGTGATTCTGAAGAAATTTAAAATTCTTAATTATTAATATTATTATTATTGTTTTATAATCTTTATTATTTAATAAATAGTATTTTGTTTAATTATCTATAATATAGGTATTATATTAAAAAGTAATCATTTATGTTTTTTTTATTTAAAAAAATAAATATTTTCACTTAAGTTCAATGTTATATGGAACGCCGTTTTACTATTTATAACTAGTTGGTACCAATGTATCATTTAAATTATTGTTAATTTTTTTATAGGTTTGATAATGGAAATTAAAGGTATTTTCGTTAATGGACATTGAATTTTTATTTTAAGTTATTATTTGTATATAAATTTATTTATAGTTAACGCCGTTTTACTATTTATTACTAGTTATCATTTAAATTCAAGTGTCATGTGAATTAAAGTATAACCGAAATTAAAGTATCATCTAAATTAACTTCAGCTTTTGTTCAATAGATGGCTACGATAATAAAAATTGAAAGTATAATGGAAATTCAAGTGTCATGTGAATTAAAGTATAATCAAAATTAAAGTATCATCTGTATTAGCTTCGGCTTTTCCTCAATAGATGGCTACGATAATAAATAATAGTAGTATAAATAATAGTAAGTATACTGGAAATTCAAGTGTCATGTAAATTAAAGTATAATCGAAATTAAAATATCATGAAAATTAAAGTATAATAGAAATAAAATTATCAAGGAAATTGTTTCAATTTTGTTGTTAAATAATAAGTTAAATATCATTTTTATTTTAAATAAGAATGGATATGTATTTTCAATATTTGAAATATTTAATTAATTGGTACAACATTGAAATTGTTTTTATAACCCTTATGAAATACAGAAATTTATGTGTAATTTAAATCCAGAAAACATGTAAATTCAAATAACAAATAAATTAAAGTACAAAAATATTATATTTACCTACCCAACGATCAATTTCTTTGAATGAATTTGGTATTTTAATTCTAAATAAACAAGAGAAATTAGAAACATACACCATCAAATATAAATAAAATTATTACAAAAGAAATAAAATATAAATCATTTTCCCATAAAAATATACATTTTAAATACTTGATTTCGGAGTTACATTAAAACTCATTTTTAGCTATGAAACAATCATTGAAATTGGTTACTTTTTTTTAAATAAAATTTTTTCCAAAAAAAAATTCCAACGCCGTTTTACTATTTATTGTACATTGATATTAACATGTCATTAAAATACCTTTAATTTCCATTATCAAACCTATAAAAAAATTAACAATAATTTAAATGATACATTGGTACCAACTAGTAATAAATAGTAAAACGGCGTTCCATAATGGTAGGGCTAATTATTTTACAATTAAACTAAAGAAAGTTATAAATCAATTGATTTCAATTATTCTGCTTTTCAATCTGACAAAAAAACAGCAAAGATGTTTGATATAATTAACATGTTAGTAATTTTATCTTTAAAAAAATGTTATTTTTTAATTATATCTTTGTTATGGGTATGTTTCTGAATACCTATATTTTTTCGCAAAAATGCTGTCTATTTTTATTCATATTTTAAATCAGTCGTTAACCAGTGATATAAATTATATCAACCTATTTTCATTTTTGATGAATTTATTGGCCAAAAAACCAATCTAGTAAACCATGACTTTTATTAGCGAAATTATTTTCTAAGGTTAAAAGCAAATGTCACAAATGTCAAATAAATCTTGATGATTTTAATTGTTTTATGTCTAATTTAAAATGTCAATGTATAGAAATTGACATTTTTATACAAAATTTAATATACAAATTTAATATACAAATATAAACGTTGAAAGATAATTACCCAATTTATTTTATAAAACAACAGTTTTTAAAGAAAAATACTGCGTTGCCATGTCGTGCAAAAACCTATATCCACTGATATGCTAAATCAGTTGATATAAATAAATCAAAGTTTCTGCATACGGCTCTTAGGGCCGGTTTTTCAATCGTTGGTTAAGTTTATCTTACGGTTAATTTTCTTAGATACTATTGTCAACACAATAGTATCTAAGAAAGTTAACCATAAGATAAACTTAACCAACGATTGAAAAACCGGCCCTTAGAGTTTTAAATTTCTTGATAAAACTACTGGTTTTGAAGTGAGCGATTTTAATGTTAGCAAAACCATTTTCTGGTTTATATATAAATATATTTAGCACATTTTCTGCGGTTTGATTGGGCGTCCCTTCTCTTTCCTTGTCTAAGGCTCAGGTAGTTTTTTTTAAGTTATTGGACACCATGTATGCATATTTAGCTTAACCGGCACAGACAATACGGAAATTAAGTTAAGCCATGACCTAGATTTGGTAAAATTAATGAAGTGATAAATAGTAAATAGCTGATGTAAATATTGCTTTAAAATTCTATGGGATAATGGCAGACGTTCAATATTAATCCCCACACATCCGTTCATGCGTGTATTTCAGAACTCAACTGGCAACTTTTCCTATTTTGCAAATAGGTTTTTTATTTGAAACGAAAAAAGGAAATTGGACAACAAGAACAACACAATTGGGTTGGTAATTACCAACCCAATTGTGTTGTTCTTGTTGTCCAATTTCCTTTAACTAATTTACTTTACTGTTAAATAAAAGTTGTTAAAGGAATAATTTGCCTAAATGTCTTTTTTCATTATCCTGTTTGTACACTCACAGGCAAAATAATGGATCCACACAAATTTTCGATGAATTTCAATCGCAAATAACTTTTTTATTTGATTTCGGATTTAAACAAATATTAAAGAATATTGTAGATACATTAATGGAGAATCGCTTACATATTAAAAATTACTAAAAAATACACGTACGTTTATAATATACATTTTGAGGTGTCTTCTTACTTTAAAAATGTCTCCGACTGATGTTGCCCTTTGTACTTTACTTCTTGTGACGTTTAAAATACTTGCCACGTAATACTGTGACCGTCCATCCTGGATTAAATTAATGACTCTGGCAACATCAGTCGGGGACATATTCCTTTTTTAAAGTAAGAAGGCACCTCAAAATTAAAATATTAATTTGCAAAAAACAATTTGATCGCTTTTGAAAGCCATTTATGACATGTCCAAGTATGATTCAACAAAACTGTCACTGTCATTCTCCATAGCATATGGATGGACCATAGCAACCTTAGTTCTTCATACAGAAAAATATTGGAAATTGCAATGTTTTTTTAAAAAATCTACAGAGTGTCTTAAACTTATGGTAAAAAAACATATTTTTGTTTAAACCTGTATATTATAAACGTACGTCTATTTTTTAGTAATTTTTTAAAATGTGAGCGATTGTCCATTAATTTATCTACAATATTCTTTAATATTCGTTTTTTGCATTTTAAATTCATCGAAAATTTGTGTGGATCGATTATTTTGCCTGTGAGTGTATTTAGTACCCAGGTCTACAAAATGTAACACACCCAAAGGTTTAGATACGCTAAATTTAAATCAGACCTAAGAATTTCTCCATACTTATATCCCTATTTAACTGTAATTCGCTAAAATTCATTTTAGGTCAAGCCGAAAATGAAAGCCATAATAATATTTTATTGGTATATTGCACCAAAGTCAATCCGGCGACACACTGCATAAACCGTTATCTAAAAGCCACTACTTTTTTATTTAGAATTGTGGTAAATCTCACCTATAAGGTTTCTTAATATTTCTAATTAATATAAAGTACTTACTTCTACAAGGGCATCAGTTTTAAGCAATATACAGGTGGCCTGGCTATTGCTGTCGATATTCCTGTAGAGTGCCACGCCGCTTTGATCCTTGGAAGCGGTGCTGGAGGTGGGGGTCACCAGGGAGCCGCTCCCCGGCTCGGTGGTCGAAGAACTGAATTTCGTGTGTCTAGGCTTCGAGGTTGCCAAGTTGGGCAGGGTCAGGCTGTCCACTAGGGACGACGTCGTTGCACCTTAAAATATCAAACGTAATTAAGCATTTAATGCTGCTCACTTAGCATGACATCGGTGAGATACAATAACAAAATTTAGTGTTTTGTGATTTTATGTGTTATATGTTTAAAATAAAACAACGTGGGTTAGAGTCACCTATTCGATAACATATGTTTTTGACATAATATATTATATCAATTGATTAACGATTTTACTCAAGAAAAATGTAATGTTGTGGTTAAATTTAATAATAAAGCACAGTAGGTGGTGACATTTGACATTAAATGTCACATTACACTTTACCACAAAAACTAAATTCGATATCAAATATTTAATCTTTATTTAATAACTCAAAAAATAATAAAAACTTGTCAATGTGTATTTAAATGGACATGGAAACATGTACGATAATGGGCGTTTGGAATAGAAAAACCTGGTTGATATAAAAAATTAAAATAAAACAAATTAAATACACGCCTTGTCAATGCAGAAATAGATAAAAATAATAAAAATAAAAACCAAGCGGAGAAAGCACAAATCATCGCTAAGCATACATTTCAATGCCGAGGAGATAGCCGAGGCAGTAGATTGTGTGCGAGGCAATTAAAAAGCTTTTGCCAAAAGGTTTTATATACTTTTTTTACAAGCATTTAAGGAGGTTTGGGCACGATATTGGTCGCTATGAGAGGTTGAAAAAATTCTAGATTATAGTAGAGCCTACTTAAAAGACATTTATTTGTATATGTATATGTATACAAAGTTGTTGTGTAATATTGCCAGTTTAGCAGGTATAAGTGCACACGAGAAAAAAATCATCGATTTTTTATTGTCATGTTATAAGATATGAGTTAATTAAATACATTTCCTATACAGCCCATGTCTTTAATTAATGCATATCTGATAAAGTGACATTGAAAAATTGATGAATTTTTTTTCTCATATGCACTTATGCCTTTATAAGTGTCATATAAATTTTTGTTAACTTTCATCGCACAGTTTGGCAATAATAAACGTTCAACAAAAATTTTCAATCTGTCAATTTCATCTAGATGTTCTGTTAACACTGGATTACACGTGATATTTTGTTTGATTTATTTATTATATACCATAATTTAAATTTTTAAGTAAATTATTAAAAAAACGCAATTGTATTAAGTTATTTGTTTTTAAATAATTAGACAATCTTTTTACCTTCTATGGTTTTCTGCTCTTCTCTTTAAAACTCGCTGCATTCAACATGCTGCATGTTTTCTGTTGCTTTATTTTTTATTCACATACATTTTTTTTCAATAATTTTTTCTTTATAGTGGACTTTATTCGTTTTCCCAAACTCATTTTAAGATTTTAAATAACACTGCATATAGAACTGTCACTGCCATTGTCAAACGCAAAGAGCATTACCATAGAAACCAACTATCATAACTCTCAATGTTTGTCGCTTTTAAATCCTATTTTTTTACTTTTTTAATTTACGTTTTTGTGTTACAATATGTATGTATATAGTGCCTTTTGTATAAGAATAAAAAATAATTATTGTATTGCACGAACCTTGACTTTTGAACTAGTATTAATATGAAGTCTTTCTATATAGACTTATAAATGTTATAATATAAAAATTAGTACGCTAAAAAAGAAAATGTATTTTTTTAATACTTAAAATAACTCTCCCTATCTCTTGGTGAAGCGTTGGTTCGCTATTATCAGGACACCCGGTTTTATTATCCACTTTAAAGCTTTTAAGCATTTAAGGAACTTATTGGAAATATATTAAATAAATAAAGAGAAATGCCTTTTAAAAGATCACGTTTACGCTTGTATTGAATTTTTCTTAAATACATGACTTACTGGATTATAATAAAATTCTTCTCGTATCAATGGTGTGATCTAGAAATCTGGAATTAAATTACAGAGAAGGTAAAGAGAATTTAATATATTGCATAAATCCATACAATTAACTTATGGGTGAATATATTGAGATGTTCCCCAAGTGAAAATGATTATTTTTTATTTTTGGTTGTTTCACTTTTAGTCTATAATGGGGTTTTTGGGAAGCCACCAGGTCTAGTAATAACATAACATAAGTGGTTCTGCACTAATGCAAGAATTTTAAGAAATCAAACATTTTGAATATTAGAGCTTCACGGAAGATAGCTTCACAGAGGTTAGGATTTCGTATGTTTTTTTTAAACATCCCTTTGTATATTTGAAATAAATTATTATTAATATCTTTTGAAACCTTAATATTTTTTAAAAATACAATTGTTCATACATAAAATATTTATAAAAAAATCTATTTACTGAGATATTACACTTCACGGTGGATAGGTTTTTAAATGGAAAATTAATGAACTTAAACTTTTAAATTATAAAACAGCCACATCTGCATATAAATTCTAACTGACCTTCAGGAATCACATGCATCTATAATGTCGTAAACAGAGGTTTTTGCTTATTTAAATTGATTAAAGCGCCATCCGTTGCATAAAATTTAATGCAACAACAGATTCACGGTGGAATCAATTTTTGTAACACCCACATAAATGGTTATAAAAATTATTTCTTTTAATTTTTAATAATATTTTATATTTGATTCGATTGCTTTGGATGTGTTTAATTTACTTAGTGATATTTTTGGTATGCTTTTACTACTTCAGATATTTGAAAACATATAGGTTAACCTAGAAAGAGTAACAGTCACGGAGGATAGGTTTTAGAATTTTAAAACATTGTAAAAATAATTAATTGTGGTTAAAAATCTGGAACCTGAGCTGTAATATCTACTTAATTATGAAAGATCAAAACACAACAGGGGACATATCGTGAGATTCACCCATATTGGAATCTCTTTTTTAGTTTTTTAAATTTAAAATATTACATGGTGTTGAATTAATCTTGCTTGCAGATATTTATCAAAATTTTAAAAACAAAAAAAATATTGTTTTACCATATCAGATAATGTTTATTATAATAATATAACTTATACTTAGTATATAAATTTTGTACCAAAAAACTAGTTAAAATAAACCTGAATACTACAAAATTATTTAAAAAATATTGTTCTTGTGAAAAAACAAAAGTTACAAAAATGGCGAATGTGCCGGGATTAATTTCTATAATTTTGTTTTGTACTATATCCGGCCATACTGCATGGTAAAGGTGTTTATTTTATCGATAAATTGCCCATTATTGCCACCATTCAACTAGTAGGCACCCTACATTTAATAACAAACTGAAAAACTAAATAACAAAATGTTTATTACCTACTAGTACTATAAATAGGGTTTAAAAGGGCTTGTGACATTTGCACGAGACTTCAAACCATGTTTACAGATCTATTTTGCGATATTAAAGAAAAATGTGTTGGATTTGCGTTGAGTAATATAAAAAGAAGAATGTACTTACAAATAATAAATAATTTCAAATAAACAACACCTCCGATTTTGGCCATGTTTCGCAGATGACACGGAACTCGGACAGCCTCTCTGGTCGGCACTTTAACTTAGAATGTACTCAGAATGGACGCGTTGTGCATGCGATGCGCCCATTCTAAGCAAGTCGACGCCTGCCCATAGGCGTGCATCAATAAAGGGGCGCATGGCCGTCGCGATCGAAACGTGGGTGATTTCATTCAGGTGTAGGGTTTAACATTTACGGCGAGTCCGCGGGCCCAAGCAGTCTCCAACGCTGATATCACCCCACGCAAAATCGAAGTCGCGTGGGTGAAACTAGGACTGAAACGTCACAAAGGTCTAGGATTATTATTTTCGTAATTCTAAGTACGTTCGATGTTTATCCTTCAGGGATTTGCGTCATAACTTATTAGATCAAAACGAACCGTCCAACTACAGGCCAATATGTGGTATGAGTGTTCTCAGTAATTATAGGCCAGTTTCAATTTTAAATTCTTTCTCAAAACTTTTCGAAATAATTATTTATAATTATGTTTTTAACTATGATTTCGCGAAAGAATCGAACGATTTTGGGGTATTTTTTTATAACACATCTCAGATTTTTTTTATATTTTAATATTGTGTTTATACATCTAATTCCACCCTAAATCTAAAATGTTTATTTTATCTGACCTAAACTTTGGCTCCCAGAGACCATTTAATTTTACCTTTCGCAAAAAGCCATAATTTCATTAGAATTATGCTAATCTTCAATCTTTTTATTAAAATACTGAATGTTTTGAGATGTGGTCCATAAATTACCCTTATTAGTACCTACAATTCTACAAAAAAAAAAAAAAATTTACATATAGGTGGCGCTGCAATTTTTTCTTCTTCAAAAATAGACGTTTTTTGAAGACCAAAAACTCTCTTAAGCAACAATGCTCAAAAAAAACTAAATAGTATACCAGATAATATACATTATTCCTTTATAATTTGATATATAAAAATTTACTTGCAAATAATGTTGCCGCCCGTAAAGCCAACTTAAAGTTTTGTTTACCGCATTAAAAAAAATTGAATTACACTTACACTTACACTTAAGCAACATTGCTTAAAAAACTAATGACATTATTTATAATGTATCAGATAATATAGATATTCTTTTACTGTTTGACATTTATTTGCAATAATTAATGCATGTTGTAGGGACGATTAAAATTATAACTAGTGCACGTACCCGCATATTGTTATACTATAAACGCCTTTTTTCGCAAGTAAATTTTATTTTATATGTCGAATTATAAAGGAATATCTATATTATCTGGTACGCTATTTAGTTTTTTTGAGCATTGTTGCTTAAGAGAATTTTTTGTCTTCAAAAAAGGTCTACTTTCGAAGAAAAAAAATTGCAGCGCCACCTGTATGTAAAAAATTAAAACTTTTTTTGACAGAATTGTAGGTACTAATAGGGGTCATACATGGGCCAAATTTCAAATCATTCAGTATTTTAATAAAAAATGTATGCCAAAATAATGGAATTTGGCCTTTTTGTGAAAGGCAAAATTAAATGGTTTCTAGGAGCTAAAGTTTAAGTCAGATGAAAGAAAAATTTTAGATTTAGTGTTAAATTGGATGTATAAACAAAATATTAAAATTAAAAAAAAATCTGAGATGTGTTGTAAATCGATCGTTCGATTCTTTCGCGAAATCATAGTTAATGCTGTAAAGTCTACAATTTCGCCAAATCAGCATGGATATATGTCAGGCCGATCAACAGCCACACATTTAATCAATTTGGTGCAAGACGGAAAGGAAGCCATTCACAACAGTAGTCAACTAGATATTATATATACTGATATGAGTAAAGCTTTTGATAAAATTGACCATCAGCTATTAATTGACAAATTGCACGATACAAATTTGCTAATTAATTTAATTCAATCTTATTTAATGGATAGAAAGTTTTTTGTAACAGTCAATAACTTCACATCTTGTGATTTTTCTCAGTCCTCAGGTGTACCCCAAGGTTCAAATCTGGGGCCCATTACTTTTTCTTTTATATTATAACAACTTGCCATTAATAATAAAATCACAAAATCTTATGTATGCTGATGACTTGAAAATATACAGTTATATTAATTGGGAGCACGATTGCATTAAATTGCAAAGGGACTTGGAGTTTAATATTAAATGGGGTAGTTAAATTTTTTCTGACCTATACTTTTTATGGTTTTATTCAAGGCGTTTTGTAATATTAAACATTTCTGTGAAATCAGAATTTCAATTGAGTTTACCGTTTTCGAGATATTTACAAAAAAATATAAATTTTTATGACGTCACAAACCTCGCCATGTGACCAACATTCTAAGATTTCTATTGGTTGAAAATTACCCTGTTGTCAAGTTGTCTTGTTAATAATTTCATTCGGTTATGTCAGAAAATACCCGAAGAGGTTATGTACAAATACTGTCACTGTCAGTTGAGTGAAAGATGGTCACCGAATTCATTAAGTACCTATCATAGATAACAAAGCCTTCCTTATTACGAGGAAACATATTACTGTTTTGATATTTTAGAGTCCAAGATATATCTAAAAGAATATAAAGAACTAGGCATTATACTAATGAAATGCATTTACGACAAAATATGATTATAATTATAGGTAGGTACTTACTTTATTTGCTTAAAAGCTCCAATGTTCAATGTAACCAACCATTCCACAAGATTACTCTGCTTTGGAGTCCGTTATTAATAAATCACTTATCTAATATCAATTAGAAATAACATAACAATAACATTGATTTTCAATAATCTAAATTTAAAAAAAAACATAAACCCGAAAAAAAGAAATGTCAAAAAATCAATTCTTCTTCTTCTCAACTAAAATTATAGATCAAGTGGTTTTAAAACTAAAATATTATAACGTAGCGCCATCTATCGTAAGAATCTTAAACTAAACACACTGGCAACCATAGAAAAAGCTGGCAACGTTGTCAATAGCCTAGTGACGTAATTAGGAGATTTTTTTTTGTAAATATCTCGAAAACGGTAAAGTCAATTGAAATTCCGATTTCACAGAAATGTTTAAAATTACAAAACGCCTTGAATAAAACCATAAAAAGTATAGGTCAGAAAAAATTTAACTACCCCATTGGTTTGATTTAAATAAATTAAAATTAAATATTTCCAAATGCAATGTTCTAACTATTACAAAAAAGGTGACACGAATTGTCTTTAATTATTCTATTAATAACATACATTTAAAAAGGGTGGATAAATTTAAAGATTTTGGCGTTATATGTGACTCTGAGCTTTCCTTTGATTCACATATAATCCATATGGTTAACACTTGTCTGAAAACTCTTGGCTTTATCGTTCGTAACACTCGTGAATTTGTGGATCTTACAGCAATTAAAAAGTTATTTAACTCATTTATATTATCTAAACTTGAATATTGTGCTTTAGAACGGTCACCTTTTTATAGTAATAAAGTCGAACTTATTGAAAGAGTCCAGAAGAAATTTTTACGTTACCTTAAATACAAAGAGACTTCTGAATTTGATTATTTAGCACATTATTCGGATTTACTTAACGCATATGACTTTATCGAATTAAAAAAAAGAAGAATTAATATAGTTGTTATATTTTTATATAAGTTGTTAAATAACAAAATTGATAGTTCAGCCTTTTTATCTAAGATTTCATTCAGAGTACCACAAAAAGCCACTAGAAACTGCGATCTATTTTATCTGCCAAAATCCAGTACTAATATGTTTATTATATCACCTTTGTTTCAATTGTTTTACTATGGAAACAAAGTTGGTATGAGTTTAGATTTTTTTTATTGCAGTTATAATAGTGTATTAAGAATTCTACTCAATATTATTATTTAGTATTCATATCTTATATTTTGTTTTTTTTTTAAACCTATATTTTTTATTTCTGTGTTTTTTGTTTTTGTGTTTTCTCTTTTTTTATATTTACATTCTCACCTATCCTGTAATTGGGCACCAGCCTGTTGGATTTGTAATTGAAATAAATAAATAAATAAATATGTTTGTTGCCTATTATCTCTAAAGTATATGAGAAATGCATGACCTTCGGGATAAGAAATTTCTTTGAAAATAACCGACTTTTTACAGACTGTCAATATGGTTTTAGGCAGGGCAAGGACACTTCTCTTGGTATACTGTCCTTAATTTCTAGAGTAACTGATTCATTTTAAAATCTTGAATTTAACAGCACGGTATTTTGCGACCTTAGTAAAGCCTTTGACTGCGTCTCTCATGATCTTCTTTTAAATAAGCTTCAAATTTATAAATTCTCTGTCAACAGCCTGAACCTTATTAGATCTTATTTGGAACAAAGAATCCAGGTAGTAAAAATAGAAGAAGTAATGTCTGAGGAATAGGGGTCCCACAAGGATCCGTTCTAGGTCCTCTTCTTTTTTTAATATTTATTAATGATCTGCCTCTTGTTGATCCTTTAGCAGCATTTACTCTATTTGCAGACGACACGTCTTTCTCTAGATCAAATGGGAATTTGAGCGTTTTGGAGTCGTGTGAGACGCAGTCAAGGGTGGAGCAATGGTTTAAGACAAACTTTCACTAAATTTAAATAAGACTCAGAATATAATATTTACACTTAAAGATGTCCCAAATAAAAATGAATCAGTTAAATTCTTGGGAGTTCAATTAGACAGTGCTCTAAAATTTGATCACCATGTAGATAACATTTGTAAAAAGACTAGGAGAAGTGTCTTTGTCCTGCGTGGACTATATGATTCTGTGTCTATGGATGTCCTAAAAAATGCTTACTTTGCTCTTATTCACTCGGTTCTTACGCCATATTAATATGGGGACACTCCCCGCATGCTGATAGTGCATTTGCGCTTCAAAGAAGAGCAGTAAGGATACTAGCAGACTACCCTATCGAGCAGACTGTAAAACAGCTTTTAAAAACTTAAAAATATTAACTTTACCATCAGTTTTTATATTAGAGACCCTGCTATACATGAAAAATAACGAAAAGGATTACATTACGATGTCGGGTATCCATAGCTACCACACAAGAAATAAAAA